CTGATGGAGTTGTTTCTTTATTTCAGTTGCTATCATTTTAGAAATTTCAGGTATATGACCTCCAAGCTCTTCTGTGTTGATGCCTCCTGTACTTTTTCTGGGTGGGGTGGAGGTCCGAGATTGCCTTTTGCTCCTTCATTTTGTCATGTTTGAAGTTCCAGAGGTTCCCTGGAGCTCAGCCTCACTCCTACAATGGTGTAGGAGTGGCAGAGCAAGGACCCCAAGGTCTCCGGTGCTTAGTGTGGCTCCTGTGATGGTGTGTGGGGGCGGGGGTGGTCACTGATGCTCCCGAAGCTTTTGGGGGCTCAGTTGGCTCTCACACCAGTGGGAGAAGAGTGCTGTGGCTCACAGAGGTTCCCAAAGTTGTCCACGACTCAGTCCAGCTGCTTTGAGGTGCTAGGGGGTGGGGTATTGTCACTGAGGCTCCTGAAGCTGTCCAGGGCCCAGCCTGGCTCCCATGCCAGTGGAAGAGGGGTGGGGGTGTGGCCACCAAGGTCCCTGAAGCTGTGTGGGGCTTAGCCTGGCTCCCACACTGGTTGGGGAGGGGCAGGGGTGGTTCATGGAGGTTCTGGAAGCTGTCCGGGGTTCAGCCTGGCTTCCACTTGGGTGGGGGAGGCAGAGGAGCATGGCCACTGTGGCTGTCCAGGGCTTAGCCTGGCTCATGCAAGGATCTTTTTTTTAAAAAACAGGCTCTTGCTATATAGTTCAGGCTCTTATTAAACTCACAGGGATCCTCCTGGCTCACACCCCAATAAGGGAGTGTTATAGTTTGTGTGTGGATGTCCCCCTAAAGCCTCATGAGGTCATAGCGGGTGGACTTTCAGAGGTGGCTGAATCTAGAGTTTGTGAGTGATTCAGGGTCTAGTGCTGGGTTTATGGGTGTGAATGCTACACCCACCCTAGGGCAGGTAGACTACATACAATATAGAGGACAGAAAGAGTCTTTTCTTGTGCTCCTCCCTTTTTACTCTTGCTGCTTTTGCTGCCTTTTGCTGCCGTGGACTGTTGCCCTCTGCCATGTGCCACCCTGCCTTGGAGCCGGCTGATTATGGACTGAAATCTCCACAGACTGTGAGCTAAATAAACCTTTTCTCCTTTAACATTGGGTGGCAGGTATTTTTGTTTCAGCAACAAGAAAAGTAACTGAGACAGGGAGGTTAGGGCGATAGTCGAAGCTCTGCTCCAGCATGTGACGTGGAAGTGACTTGGTTGTCCCTGTCCGGCCACACCCCCCTGGCTCTGCCACCTCCACGCCTTGGGCCCCATTCATTCATCCATTCATCCGGATCTGGATCTAAGCAAGAGCACCCGCCAGTCTGGCCACACACATGCAATTGCTGTAGCTCAGATACAGGATGTCGGCATTTACAGCAGCATAGATCCACCCTGCCAGCCTCCAGGCCCTGGGAACCAGCAGGGCACAATTGCATGGCGCTCCCTTGGGTGGGCATGGGGCTCTGGAGTTGTGAATCCCGGGGCACCTCTGCCTGCTGCCTCTACTCCTCCAGGCCCTATTTTGAGCTTGCTGCTCAAGGCAAGGTCCATATTGCTGCCAGAGCCCAGGGGTGCAGGTTACTGTCTCGGCTCCTTGTCTCCTTTATCTATCCAAACATCCATCCCTCTATCTCCATCACAGTCCCTGTGCAGGGAGAGTTGAGTTGCTGGCTCTGTCTGCTATGGTCTGAGCTGGCCCAGCACAGGGTAACAACCCATAACTTGGGGCGACACACAGTACAAAATTACTTCCACGGACAAAGCCACAGGTGGGGCAAGAGGAGAGCTGGCGTCCTAGCTGCCGGCCAGTGAGGCTTGTGACCCAAAGGGTCTCAAGGGCGGCCCACAGCGCGGCCCTGTTCTGTGCCCCCTAGTGGCTGAAGCAAAATACTTGGTCTATTGTGGAACAGCAGAGTATAAAAAGTAACAAAAATAATGTGAGAACCCCTGTTAACACACCCTGGGCTCTGGTCAGTCTTTTTTCTCTATCTGGCATATGCACACACATGCATGTGAGTCTGTCTGCTTGTCTGCCTGTCTGTCTGCCTGCCTGCATATCTGTCTGTCTGTTGCCTGCCTGTCTGCCTGTCTGTCTTCTATCTCCCGCCAGCATTGTGTGGATTTTATCCCACTGGGTTGCCTGCTGCTCGATCGCTCCCATTTCAGGTCCTGCTTGCTGTCTGTTGATGGGAGCCTCAGCCCTTGGGCGCCAGGAACAGCTCCTGGCCACCAGCCCTGGCCTCCTTGAGACACCCCGGCTGGGTACTCTACAGAGGGCAGTGACCGCCGCCACTGTGCGCCAAGCTCTCCCACCCCGGGTCAAACACCTGCTCTCACGGCACTAGACCTGAGCCCCGCGGGTAGTGCTGTCCAGCCCAGGCGCTGTGATGAGCAAAGGCGCACATGTGGCTAGTGTGATGAATCATGCCCTGAGCAAAGCGGTGCCAGGGCTGCAGGTTCCTGGAGGAAGGCGGGGCTGTGGCAGTTCTTTGCATGGGGCAAAGTGGGTCTTGCTCATGGAGTGTCTCAGGGCTCAGCTTGTACCTTGGCATACAACAGGTGCTCAGTTAATGTCTGTGGACTGAGTAAGCATAACCAGCATGTTGCAGATGACAAAAATACAACCCACTCTATACAAAAAGGGCTTCACAAACCAGGAGCTCCACCTGCAGCTCTGTTTCAGGTACAGCTGAACCCAGGAGCTCAGACAGTGCACACGGGGCTCCATTTCTCTCTCGCCTCCCTGCTCTTCCCTCTGGCTCAGGGCTTTGTGTGTAGGGAATGAGAAGGTCTCGAAACTGTAGTTTTATTTTTATTTTTACTTTTTTGTTTTTTGAGACAGGATCTCACTACATAGAGCAGGCTGGCCTTGAACTTGCTTCGGCCTCCCAAGTGCTGGGATTACAGGTGTGTACCCCCTTGCCTGGTTTGAGACGGTATTTTTAAAAACTAGTTTACGATCACAGCCGGAGGTTAGAGGTCCCCTAGGGCCCAGGCAATAAATCTCCAGGCCTGGATGCAAAGGCAGGTGTGGACCACGAGCCTCTTCTGGTGGTCTCTTGGGACCGGCCTTCTTAAAACCAAACTGAATGTGCGGCTTCCTGAAGAAGAGAGGGCTCATTATTGGAAGGAAGCGGGGTGGGTGTGGGGTGAAATGGAAAACTCTTCCCCTGGGGTTAGGCTCTGAAAAGTCACGTGACTCAGTGGTGGCCCGTAAGAGAAGGGGGTCTTGAGGAGCTTCCGTGCTGGAAGGGACAGCTCGAGGGAGGCCTGTTTGCCCAGATGTTGTCGGGCTTGGTTTGACAGCGGAAAGTGGCCACCTTCCTGTTCCCAGGCCATGGGGGGTGCCAGTCCTGGGGGCAACCGTGGGTGGGGAGAGGAGCCCTGGAAGCACGGGCGTCCTTCAAGGAACCCGCTGGAGGGGAGTCAACCGCTCTGAGGCGGAAACTGCCCTAATTGGTGCCAGCTGTCATGTTTTCCATGGCATCAAGCAGAACTGAGACTTGTGTTTTACAGTTTACTAGCAGAGTTCGCGAGCTTTTGACAACGCAGTTGCATTTCTGGAAGTTACACAACTGTTTCTCCTCTGGGAAGCCTGGGCCTTGCCCCATCCTCCAACCTGGTGAAGAAAGGCTTTTGTTGCCAGAGGGGGCCCCCGAGATGTGCAGATCTTATTGATGTAAAAGACATTCCCTTCCCTTACAGATGCTCAGACCTGTGAGAACTGCAGCCCACCGCAGCTACCGCAGGGCTTCCAAATCCTCACAGAGGGGTGGGGGGACCGCGAGGCTGGGGCCCATGTGAGGGCCTGGTGAGGGACTCCCCACATTTGTCCTGCTAATGGAGGAGTCTCAGGGACCAGCCCAGAGGGAGGGGTCCTTAAGTAGTTGTTGATTTTCTTCCCACTGCAACTAATTAGATTTTGAGTTGGGTGGGTGGGTGGATAGAGGGGTGGGTAGACGGGCAGATGGATAGAGACATGGAAGGATGGATGGATAGTGAGATGGATGGATGGACAGGGGGATAGAGGGATGGATAGACGGAGGGATGCAGGGATGGAGGGATGGAAGGATGAGTGCAGGGAGACAGGGATGCACAGAGGGATGAATGGGCCTCCAGATACTCCCTGGATCTGCCTCAAAAGACTGGAGGAAAAAGAGGGGCGAAGCGGTAGGAGGAGGATCTGCTGGTAGGAGACCGTGGGTTTGAGTAAGAGGGGCTGGGTGTGTGCACACACACGCTTGCATGTGCTTGTGTGTGTATGTGAGGGATTGTGTGTGAGCACAAGGGCCTGCATATGCACGTGTACATGTGCAAGGGGGGTGCCTGGACCTGTGCCCACCTGGCCCGTGCATTGCAGGTATAGGGCTGTCTGTGTAGTGTGTGCGTGTCTCTGTATGTGCAGGGAGAAGGTTCCCCTGAGCACGGGGCCGTGTGTGCCCGTGTCCTGGGGGTGCAGCCCCCTCTTCAGCAGAGTCTGCTCTGCATTAAACGCAAACTCTCTTGGGGACTCTGGACTCCTTCCACAGGAATAATCAGAATTCTGTGCAGTACCGACCGGCAGTCGGGAGGGGCCGCCAAGATTCCTGCACGTAAGAGCCTCACAGCACGGGTCCAAAAGACCACCGGCTGCAGGGGAGGCTGCGCCCCCGACTCAGTTCCCCTTAGATCTCCTGGCACAACAGGCATGGGGCCTCAGTGAAGATGCCCACCAGGCGCCTCCAGCCACCTTCCCCACCCTCTAATGGGTCCCTCTTGCTGAGGGGCCGAGGCAGGGCCCCCACAGTGTCCAGCAGTGAGGGGCAGTCACCCAGACTTTCTCCCACCCAGCACCCACAGCCTCCTTGGCAGGGGGCTGCCACTCCCAGCCCTGCGCTGCAGGGAAGACACCAAAGTCTCACACCCAGGGTCACACAGGTGCCAGCGGGAGAGTGTGGGTTTGGGCCTGGTGATGAGCAGGGCCGGGGAATCGGGACCAGGCTGACGCTGAGAGGTGACGGGTGGGTCCAATCCGCGGTGGGCACAACAGCCGGGCCCTCCATTGCCCATGACCTGTACAGCAGGCGCCTTCAGCAGACTGTTCCCTCCCTCCCCGCCGGCACAGGGTCCCGGCCTCCGCCTAGGGATGGGAAGGACGTCGTCTCCTCACGAAGCCAAGGACTGCTGTGGAAAGAGCGGCGTGAAGAACCAGGCCGTTTTGCTCTGTAAGTTGTTTATGTTTCGGGCCTCTCCCATTAGACAGACCGTGAAGGCTCTGGGAGGGAGGAGGCGGAGGGCAGGGAGGAGAACCTCGGGATGCGATACGCGTATCGGACCCTCAGGCCCAGCGTAAACACTGTGCGTGGCAATCATGTGCCGATAAACAAAAATAAAGTTCTTGGGATGTGCGATGGAAAAGAGGAAGAGCCTTCCAGCCCTCCTGTCCCGGGGCGGAGCAGCTCCCTCCCCTGAGAGGCCCGGGAAGCCCTGCCGATCTGAGCCTGTCGTGGGGGCCACGTGGCCGGTGCTCAGCATCGCTGCCTCGCTTGTCGCTTGTCCTGACTCCGCCGTGTACCCAGCAACCATGGGACGCACGGGCTGCCATCGTCCCTCCTGCAGTGAACAGGAGGCGGGGGCGGGAGACTGCTACCTTGGTCACACAGGCTGTGGGCACCGGGGTAGCCTGGCCCTGGGCCTGTGTGCTCGGTGGCCATCCTCTGTGACACTTCGGTGTCCCACGCTGACTCCACATTTTGCCTCCACTGCTGCCTCCGTGGGCGCAAAGCGTGGGGCACCCAAGAGGCCTTCTCAGGGCCAGCAGGAAGGCAACTTCTGGGAGGTGCAAGATCAGGGTAGAGGGGACAAGCCCACGACAGCTGCCTCTCTGGAGGCCCGAGGTGAAAAGAAAAGGGCTCTCAGCCTCAGGGAAGGTCTGGGCAGCAACGCTGGCTCCGGGCTGTTGGTCACCCTGGGCACAACGTGACATGGAGTCCAGGGATGGAAGGCACTCGCCGCAGGAGCAGCCGGTGGCTGATGGAGAGGCCACACATCACCCTCCGCCCACCCCGGGCCTCTCCTGACTCAGTAACAGGGTCCTTAGGAATATCAACAGCAGCTCCCGCCTGTGTAGAGGAATCAGGCCACTCAGAGCCCCTGCTGCCCGGTGGACCTCTGTTTGTGCCTCTTGCTAGCTGGTTCATGGAACCTCTTTGCCTCAGTGTCCCCATCTGCAAAATGGGAGTTATAATGTGGTCTTCTCGGGAGAGCTGCTGTGAAGATAAACCAAGGCAGCCCCTGTGCAGTGCGATTTGAGGATGCTGACACAGGAGGGAGCCACACGTGCCTGTCCCTGGAGCCAGCCCCTCCCAGCCCCTCTGTGCTGACCCTGGATCAGAAGGGAGCCAGGTCTCGGGCACCATGGGCGCTCCGCTCAGAGGATGTGGCGCTGGACCGCAGGAACCTTGAGGGTCCACCCAGGAGCGGAGCCCGCAGTCTTAGGGCTTTTCTTCCTGGGCGGTAGGCGGGGTGGGTAGAGCGTGTTCTGCTTTCTATGCTAAATTATGAACTATTTCAAACATACAGAGCAGTACAGAGGGAAACAGAACCACACCCACACCCACTGCTCAGAGCCGATGCAGAGCAACACTAGTTTTTGGTTTTTGAACATGAAATAAACATTAGATTGGCTGGGCTCCCCGCTCCCCGCGGAGGCAGCTCAGGAGGCTGCTTCCGGGCCCTCGCCGCGCGCTGCTCTCCCTGTGTCTACGTGTGCGTGTCCGCGCATATGTTTTAGGTTATTTGCGTACTTTCCACAAACATGGTATCATGTTGTACGTCTCCTTCGGCAAACTTGCTTTCCCACTGCACATAATTTCCTTTTATTGTGGAAACATTCACACAACATAAAATGAGCCATCTTGAAGCGCATGTTTGAGGGGCGCTCGGTGCATTCCCAGTGCCGTGCCGCCGCCCCCTCTGGCTGGCTGGCAAACAGTCAACCCCGAAGGAGACCTCATGCCCAGGGAGCACCCCCGGCCCCCAGCCCTCCTCTGGTGACCACCCATCTGCTTTCTGTCCCTGGTTCACCTCTTCTGGGCTCTCCTACTGTGAATGGAGCTGCACGGCCCCTGCATGGAGTGTCCCCAGCTCAGCCTTGCAGCGGGGTGCAGGTGAACTAGAAGGGCCCAGGGCGCTTCCCAACCATGCCCCTCCTCCTGTCACCCCAGTGTTCCCCAGAGGAGGGGCTGACCCTTGCACTCCTGCGTAGCAGACCACCCAGACCTTAGTGGTGAAAATACCCGCTTGATTTTTCCTGCTTCTGCGGCTTGACTGGGCTCAGCGAGGCAGTTCTTCTGCTGGTCTCTCATGCAGTCAGTAGCAGCTAGGGAGGGAGGATCAGAGGGTGCAGCACCCAGGCCACTCTGCGGCCCCCTGCAGAGCAGCTGACTACCGCCATCAGGGTGCGGGCACAACCTGACCGGCTTTGGGGCCTGCCGGGAATTGGTGGGCCGTAGGGGGCGTGTCTGCGTGAGCTGCGGAGGCGTGGCCTCGCGCCTGTCCTCTTCTGTCCCTGCCCCTTCCTCCCTGGCGCTGTTCTCATCTCTGCTTCCCAGTCGTCCTGGACTAAGCAGCTTCGCTCCGCCGCCCCTGCCGCCATGGTGCTTGTGCCTTGGAGGCAGCCGTCCATGGCCTGAATCTCCTGAAAACACGAACTAAACTAAACCTCTCCTTTACGCTGTTGTTGTTGGTGTTGTGCTCAGCAGTGGGAAAGCTGAAAATGCACCGGCCTCTTGCGTGGTGGGTCCAGGGTCTAAAAGCAGGAGAGTGGAAGTGGCCAGGCCCCCTCCGGCCAGGCCCTGATGCCCAGACTGCCGCCTCCCGGGTAAAAGTGTGTCCAGGCCCGCCCACGACTTCCGCCAAGTGGGCAGAGGTGTGGAGCTGTTGCTACTGTTTGTTTTCTGGATTCCTCGGGAGAGTGGATGAGTTTTTAAGTCCCTGTCACGACAGTGCCTGCACCCTGGTGCCTTCAAGTGCGAACGTATTCTCTGACAGCTCTGGGGTCACGAGTCAGAATGGGTCTCGCTGGACTAAAGTCAAGGTGCCTGCAGCGCTGTGCCCTTCGGGAGACCCTCAGGGTCCAGGGGGCCTTGCTTTCCTTTTTGCCTTCTCCAGAGTTTGAAGGCCGAAGCTCTCCATCTTCAAAGCCAACACAGGAGCACTGTCCGCTCCTCTTTCTGTGGACCTCCCACTTCCCTCTTAGGGGCCCCTGCGGTGACCCCAGGCCCCTAGGCAGTCCTGGAATCCTAGGGTCATCTCCGCATGCCAAAGTCGTGGGCAGGCCCCTTTTCCTGGGTGAAGTGACGTACTCTTCACTGTGGGGGACCAGGAGTGACTCCTTCAGGAGATGTAGCTGTCTTTGGTGGCCACGGGAGCTGGGTGGCCCTGGGAGTTTGGGAGTCACCTTGTTTTCCAGCTTTGCTCTCTGTCCCTCTCTCCACTGTGCCAGGCACATTCATTGCACAGACTCTCCAGCTCCGTGTGCCCATGTGAGCTCCTGGCATCAGCTCTGACAGCCACCAGGGTGGCTGCAGGAAGCGCCGGCGCCTCGGACGGAGCATGGGAAGAGACTTAGCGATGCACGTCTGCAGAGGTGTGTGCCTGGCCGCGGTGCCAGGGTGGGTGGGGAGATGGAGCTGGGTGGAAGGCAGCTGTGCCCCGAGGATCTGGGGCTCAGTCTCCTCCCTTGCTCCTTCCCAGCCCCTCTGGGCTTCCTGGGGCTCCCGCTGACCAGGGCCCGGCAGAGCCTGCAGGGTACGGCCCGTGGGTGGGGACTTCGGGGTCTCAGTGTTCAGGGTGGTGGCAGAGAGCCTACGGCATGCGCGATACTTGTTTTTAAGACAAAAGATGTCGCTGTATAAGTTGTTTTTTCTAAACTAAAACCTCAATATGCAGGTTTGATTGCAGCGTCAGCACTTTGCGATAAATAAGTGGACTTGGAGGTCTGCGGTGCGGGCGCTCGGCTCTAGAAGGTTCGCCGCCCTTGGTCTGGAGTGGTCAGTGCAAGTGCCGGCAAGTGCCCCAACTTCACGACAGCATCTTTTATTATACAGACTACTTGAATTTAATTATAGAGGCACATTTCCTTTATGTTTACCTTTGCCATTTTAAATATGATGTTTTCCTTTATTCCAAAACCATGCAGATATTCCTTTTAAAAAACTATGTGTATATGATTACGGCAAAGTGCACATAAGATATACCAGTTAATTTTTGTTTTTTTGTTGGTACCAGGGATTGAACTCAGGGCTTTCACACTGAGCTACCTCCCCAGGCCTTTTAAATTTTATTTTTAGTTTTTTTTTTGAGGGTCTTGCTAAGTCACTAAGTTGTCCAGACTGGGCTCAAACTTGCAACCTCCTGTCTCAGCCTTCCAGAATTCTGGAATTGCAGGTGTGCATCATGATACCTGCCTACCATCTTCACCATTTTTAAGCGTACAGTGCAAGAGTGTTAAGTACTTTGAGACCGTTGTATAGCCAGTCCCCAGAACCCTTTCCATCTTGCAAACTGAGACTCTGCACCCATTACACAGCGGTTCCCCAGCCCCTACCCCATTTCATCCTTGCCCGTGACAGCGCCTTCTACTCTCTGTCTCTGTGGGTGTGGCTGCTTGCATCATTGGGATCCTATGGCATCTGCCATTTCTGTCCGGCTTATTCCACTCAGCACAACATTCTCCAGGTTCACTCTATCCTCATAAGTGGTAGCATTCCTTCATTTTTAAAGGCTGCATAATACTCCATCGTGTAGAATGAATGGACACGTCTATGCATTGATGCATCCTGGACAGTCATGCTGCTGCCATGTTTTAGCTATTGTAAATTGTGCTGCTATGGACCCAGGTCCCCAGCTACCGCTCTGAGAGCCAGCTGTCAGCTCTCTGTGTATGTACTCCTCCGTGCAAATGCTGGGTCTTACGCTGGGTCCATTCTTACCTGCTGGGGAACCTCCGTACTGCTCTGCATAACGCTGCACCAATGCACACCCCTCCCACAGTGCGAAGAGCTCCTCCTCCTCCACCCTCGCCAGTGCGCGCTGCCTCTGTCTTGGCGCTAGCAGCCGTCCTGACAGGTGGGGAGGTGACTGCTCATGCGGCTGCACATGCTGTCCTCGGTGTGAGTGGCGTGGGGCACCATTTTCTCGTACACCTGTTGGCCGTCCATGTTCTTTGGAACAATGAAAGTCCTCGCCCATTTTAGAATCCGGTTATTTGCGTTCGAGCTGAGTCCCTTCTGCATTTTAGAGGTGAAGCCTTTGTCAGATGCACGGCTTGGAGACGTCTCCTTCTGTCTCACAGGCTGCCCCCTCCCTTTGTTGTGTCCTTCGCCGTGCAGAAGCTTTTTGTTTCAACACAGTCCTATTTGTCAGTTTTTGCTTTTGTGGCCTGCATTTTAGGGTCTTATCCATGAGTTGATTCTTTATGGTAAATTAATCAACCAGTCAATCTATTAATCCATCTCTCCATCCATTCATCTGTCTCCTAGCTGTCTCCCTGTCTCCTGTTTATTTTGTCTTCCTGGGGAACCCAGACTAATACATAATTTAAAACTCTATATTTTCTTTCCATAGAATGACATTAAATAGCAAACAAACACTATGACAAGTTGAGATACTGTGGGAGAGAAAAAAGCTTCATATTTTACGCATGAATTTGTTTTTGTACTGGGGATTGAATCCAGGGCCGTCACATTAAGCTACATGCCCTCCTTTTTATTTTTTACGTTGAGACAACACCTCTCTAAATTCACTAAGTTGTCCAGGCTAGGCTTGAGCTTGCAGTCCTCCTGCCTCAGCCTCCCAGAATGCTGGGATTACTGGTGAGCATCACCATGTCCCATTGCACCCTGGCGCTTTGAACAAGGGTCCTGTACCTTCACTGGGCTCTCTTGCTGCAGGGCCCTGACCATGTCTTCCTTGGCTCCAGGTCACCAGACAGTCTCTGGAGAGTCGGGATCCTCAGGTGTCCGGCCATCTCTAGAAGCCAGGAGGCTTCATGTACCTGAGGGTCACCTCCCAGCTCTGTGACTGTCCCTGGTGGGCCCCCCTGCTGTCTACCTTTCCCCGGAGTGGGTTGTTAGATTTAAAAAGCAAACAACCCACAGACTGCCAGGTAAACAGCAAAGGAGCCATGATTTAACTGTAGGACAGCTCGTGCAGTGTCGGTATGCCCTGGTGCTCAACGTCCTGACAGTGTTTACCTGAAACCCGCGTGTACCGCACCCCCTCACCCCCGAGTCCCCCAGCTCCCCCCCGGTGCTTCTGCTTGCCACTGCCGTGGTTTCTGCTGTTTTTAGTTGTATTTTTCTGTCATAAGAGCAGTACATGTTCACTACAGAAAAATCGCAGGCTACGGATAAGCAATAAGAAAGAAGCAAGAAAACACTCATAATCCACCCACGCAACGCCGACTGTGACTCCCGCGGGTGGATTTTTCCAGAGCGCTCTGTGTGCGCGCGCGTGCATGTGAGTGTGTGTGAGTGCATGTGTGCGAGCGCATTCATCTTTGCGGCTCTTTAGGAAAGACCCCGCACCCTCAGCACCCCCGTCAGACCCCGGTCCTGGGGAGCAGGGACGCTTGGGCGACCCTGTGGCTGCAGCCTGCCTCGAAGCTCAGCGGGTCAGGGAGGCTGCGGGCAAAGACTCCGGCTAACGCTGCAGCCCCACAGGCCCGGCCTTGAACAGCCCACCTTAATTTCCCTGCCACCGGAGGGGCCCCCCTCCCAGCTTGAAGGGGGGCGCGGCTCACGCGTCCTCGTATGGCTTTTCCCTGCCTGTGCCTGGGTCCTAGTCTGTCCCTTCGGAACACCAGGCAGATTGGATTGGGGCCCACCCTAGTGACCTCATTTTAACTTAATCACTTCTTTACCTTGTTTCCAAGTAAGGTCATATGCCGAAGAACTGGCGGTTAGAGTTTTAATATCTGAGGTGGAGGGACAGAGCTCAGCCCCAAACTCCTTGGCCCAGTTCACTGCAAACGTGGTGAGCCTCGATGTCCTCCTCCGGGACACAGGCCAATGTCACATCCATCTAAGTGGAGCCCGGGGTGACTGTCTGGAATGCCCTCGCCCCCCACCTGGCCCTGGACAGAACGCTGACGTCACTTCCTCTTGTCCTCACCACGGGGAGGTGGTGCCTCTCCTTTGTCTGCTGGTTGGGTTATTTCCCTGTTCCAGGGAAAGCTGCTGGGCTACAGGGGATTCCAGCCCGCCCAGAAGCGCCCCAGCGGCAGGCAGCGGAGGGATGGACACCCACTGCACCCCGGGCCTCCGAGGCCCCTACGCTGTGCCCCCTCCCACTCCTGCCCCACTGTCTTTTCTGAAGCTCCGGTCCCCACAAGCTCAGCAGAGACACCAGACTGGCTTCTCCAGCTCCGCCTCATGGTCCCACTCTGCGTCTCTGTGTGTCTGTTCTGTGACCCTGCCCCCCTCCTGCTCTCCGGAGTCCGGGGCGTTGCTATGGCTCCCACCAAGGACGCCCTTCCTCCCTGTCTTCCTGGGGAGGGGCAAGTACAACCTTGTCCATGAACTCGCTCGCTGTTTGCGTCTCCTCTCTCTTCCTGCCCAAGGCTGAACAGTGCCGTGTCCACTTGACCCTGGATGCTGGCGGCGGTGACATAGTGAGGGGGCTTTTCCCTCCTCCTGTCCACAGGGCGCAGGACTCCTGGACTCAGCTGCCAGGGTGGGACCAGACAGAGGTCACGCAGGCTCAGACCCGCTCAGATGACACCGCCAGGGAAGGGGCTAGGAAAAAGCAGAAATGTGTGTGTGTGCATGGGGCAGTCATCAAACCCTGCGGGACATGCTCTCCATTACGGAAAAGCTAGCTGAGAATGTGACATGTTTCCTGACAGTTTTGATCTGGCAGAGAAAGACATTTCGCATCAGCCACCTGGTCACACACACACACCCACACACACCCACAGTGACACACACACACATACAGAGAGTACAAGGCTGGAACCAAGGTGGCTGGAGACTGGTTCCCTAGGTGAAAAATACACAGGTATTTTTATTGTATTTATTCTATCTTGCTCCTTCAAAATGCTTGAGTTGATCAGATAAATTGATTTCATGACTCACCGCTGGGCCCTGATTTGCAGTTTGAGAAATCTTGCTCTCATACAGGATTTCGTTTTCTGCTCTGTATTCTGTATTTAAAATTTAATAATGATGATGGATTTATGTGTTATGTGTTTTTCACTTAAAGAAGAGGGAGGACTGGGAAAATACAAAACAGTAATCAGGTTGTCTCTCTGTGGGGCGGGGCAGCATGGCAAAGCTGACAGCTTTGCAGCTTGCCTGGGTCCTGCCCTGGCTGTGTCGCGGCAGGGTGTGCACCAGCCTGAGGTCGTTCACAGGAAGGGACACCCCTGACACGCGGGTGCTCACCCCAGCACAGTCCCGGCCTCCTTTGGATCCCGGATCACAATAAACTTGTCATCGGCAGGGAAGACGCGGAGTGGGGCGCATGGCCAGTGAAAAGTTGAAGCCTTTTCGAGGACAGGCATCTACACGTGGGGAGGGGGACACAGGGGGCCTACTGGGAGGCCCCCTTGGGTTGGTTTTAGTTTCCTTTGGTGTTTTTGGCAGGAGCATGGATTATTTTTGTAAGAAGGGGAGATTTTTAAAGAAAGGAGACAAAGAAAGAAAAAAGAAAAGGAGGAAACAAGAAAAGATGGAAAACAGGGGAAAAGATAAGGAAAGGAAGGGAGGGAAGGAGGAAGAAAGAAAATACGCGGAGTGTGTGTGTTGGGGGTGGAGCGGGTCTTCCAGGCGTGGCAGTGGCCTAGGTCCAGTGCACAGGTCCGGTTCGGTCTGGGAAGCGCGCGAGGCCTGGAAAGCGCAGGTTCGCGGGGCGGGAGGTCGCTGTCCGCGCCCTGGGACAGCGAAGGCTGGGCGGGGAGAAGCGCCGAGCGCGTTCTTCCGCTGTCCCGGCGCCCCTAGGAGCCACGTCCCCCCAGGCCTGCGGCACTGGCCCTGCCCGGCCCCCCAGCGGCGTCCTGCTGCTTCCCCATCTTCTTCCTGGGGGTGGGTGGGGGTGCAGGAGGTGGAGGTGGGCGCGGCGAGGAGATGAAGAAATACCATCTGCACCGATTTTTCTTAAAAGTTATTTTTCAATTGAAATACTTTTAAAGCAAAAGAGAAAGAAAAGAAAAAAAAAAGGAATTTGAAAATATCCCAAATTTAGGGTGTCAGTCCCCAAAAGTTTTCAGGGAGGAGCAGCGTGGGGGCTGGTGCGGAGCTGGGGCGAAGCTGGCTGCACCCGGGCCTCCTCCGCCCGCCCTCAGCGCCCAGCTCACCACGCACCCCACGTGCACGCGCGCCACCCCGGGGCGCACCGACCTGCCCTGCCCCGAGACTCGGGCAGCCCTGGCCTCCAAGGCCCCCAGACTCTCCGCCCCTCGCCCGGGCCCCCGCCCCTCCCTTTTCGGTTCCAGGTGTTGTCCGAGGGAGGTTGTCCGCGGATGCAGCCTGGGCGTCGCCCGCCCTCGGCGAACTGCGGGGGTCAGCGCAAGGGCGGGGAGCGCGCGGGGCGCCTGGCGGGGCAGCGGGCCGACCTGCGCCCAGCACCCGACCCCTCACACCGTCCCCTCCTCTCTCCGCCCATCCCCCGGGCCCCGTTTTCTGCTTCCCACCCGAGATCGAGTTGGGGTGGTGGCGAGCTTTGGCTCAAGCTGGGGGAGGAGCAGAAGGGGGCGTCCCCGGCGGGGGCGCACTGAGCGGCACCCCGGTCCTGCTGCGCGGACCCCAGCGGCGAGGCAGGGGGTGGCAGGCGAGGTCTGCAGGTGCAGAGGAGTCAGGTGCGCCGCGGCGCCCACGTGGGCGGGCGCAGGGCTCCACGAGATTTAAAGCCACCGTCGGCCTCCACGCCACCCTTCCCCCCGGCGCCGGATGCTCCGAGAAGTTAGACGGGCGCGCAGCCACGGGAGCTGTCCGCGTGCGTGCGTGCGTGGGCGCGCGCGTCAAGTGAGAACCCCCTGCCTCTGCCGCCTCCTTCCAGGACCCCGCGGGCCTGCGCTCCCTGCTCTCTGCCGCCCCCAGGTTCCCCGCCCAGGTGTGTGCGTGCGCGCGCGTGTCGGAGCGCGCCCCGGTCTCCGGCACACCTTCTTCCCACTCCATCCACCTCCAGGCCGCCGCCTTGGGCTGCTCCCGCCCCCGCCTCCACCCCCAGGGTCCCTGTGCGGACGTGCGGGAGAGATTTGTGTTTCACTCCTGCGGCTTTTCAGAGCTAGCAGGAGATAAAGGGAACCGTAAAGCAGTTTACTTTAAGCCTTTATTATTGTAGCTTAAACGAAGTTTATATACAGGGAATGTTACCAGCAATACACTCGCCAAACGGCCTTTGAAATCAGGGGCGCTCCACTGCGGACCCGGGGTTCTGCCCAGGAGTCCCCGGCCTCGGGGTCCCAGGCTGTCCCCCCATCTCTCTTTCTCCGGACTTTCCCCCCCGAACTCGTTCCCCCAGGAGGAGTCCTAGCCTCTTCTCTCTCCCCCGGGGCTTCGGACCTCTCCCGCGCCTCTCAAACCACCTTCTCCTGGTCCTGAAGCGATTCCCTCCCACGCCCTCCCCTTCCCCTCCCACCTCCTTGACCGTAGGCTCCTCTCCAAGTCCAGAGCACTCTTACCCCTCGGGCTTTCGGGCACCATTTGGAGCCCTCCTGCAATTTCGGAACCGGCTCATGGTCAAGACCAGTTAGAAACGGTTCGTCATCAGCAGAAGGGCTCCTGCGTGCCGAAAACAAGGGGGAAGACTACCCTGCCCACCCTCTCCCTCCCGACCCCCACCCCCCCCGACAAGAAATAAACACAAAGGCAGCAGGGCTCCCTGCGCGCGACAGGTGGGTGCCAGGCAACTAGCGCAGCCTAGAGCTGCTGGAACCAGCTGCGCTCCCGGCGCGCGGGCGTGGCCAAGGTGTCTGCATCTCCGGGTGCGCGGACCGCGCGCTGGGCTGGCTAGAGGCGCGCTGGAGAGCAGGTGTACAAGGGTGGCGCGGGAGCCAGGCCTGGAGGCTCACAGGCATGGCTGCGTGCGCGCTGCCCCAGGGCTCCCAAGGGGATTTCAAGCCAGCCAGGCAGGTAGAAGTGAGAGAGTCACAGAGTCCCAGGGTGGCTAGTCTTTAGCAGCTGAGTGCCAGACCCAGCCGGAGAGTTATGGCTCAGTGCATCTGTGTCCCTGGGCCTCAGCATGCCCAGGTTGGCTGGTGGGGGCTTCGAAAGCCCTGAGGCCCAGCCCACCAAGTTCAGGCAACTGTCCATCCGTTGTTTACAACCGGCCTGGCCGAGGGCCGTGCAGCTGCTCGTCATAGCGCTCCAGCCAGGTGCGCAGCTCCGAGACCTGGTAGCCATCTGGGCCTCGGCCGCCCTGGTACACGATGGTACCGCTCTGGATGACATAGAGGCGTTCGAAGTAGGCGCCATAGGCGGAGCTGCTGGAGTTGGCCATGGTGTCCAGGACCAGAGCGCAGCCAGGCGCGCCTCGCTGGAGTACCCGAGCCGCGCTGACCCGGTCCTCCAGGCTCCGGTGCTGGGGGATGACGTAGGGGGAGTCTGTGGTGACCCAGCCGTCGGAGGGGTGGGCCTCCTCGATGTAGATGATGAGGAAATCGACGTCGCGCTGGTACTTGGTGACCAGGCGCTGGAAGGCGCTCATGCGCGCCATGAACGGTGGTCAGGTGCAGCTGCCGAAATTGAGCACCAGTGGGCGGTTCCCTTGCTCGTAGTCCAGGATGTGCTGGCTCTGGAAGCCGTCGGGCAGGACCACTTCGGAGTTGGGTGCCGGCCCGCCCTCGTGCGCCTGCTTAAAGAAATCCAACTTCTGGCCGTGCCACACCGCCCTGAGCGACGCTAGGGTGCACAGCCGGTTGTCGTCGGATACGCAGATGGGCGGGTCGTCGGGGGGCACCTCCTCACCGTCACTGTTGAGCTCCACTTCGGGCTCGGGCTGCCCCAGGCCGCGGCGGCGCAGGAAATGCTTGCGGATGCACAGGAAGTCGAGCAGCCAGAGCATGAAGGCCGTGCCGAGGAAGCGCGGGAAGAGCACGAGGCACGAGGCCGTCTGGGCGCAGAGCCTCAGGGAGTGAAGCAGCAGGGAGCGGAGCATGGTGGCCGCGGGCCCCGAGGCCCCCTGGGACCCGTCGCCCTCTCCGACCACCAACCGCGAGGCGGCCTGGTGCGGCATCTGGGCTTCGGCGTGCAGGGAGCTCAATTTATAGCCAAGGCTTCAATTGGCGGGAGACTCCACCTCCAGCCCGGGCCCGCCCCCTTGCAACTTGAGCCCGGAGGGATCTCCCAGCGGCGCGGCCAATGCCCGGGAAATCGCGGGACGAGGGCGGGCGCGGGCAGGCCGAGGGCGGAGCGGGGCGGCCGGGGAC